GGGTCTACCTGGGGGGGACCTGGTACCAGGAAGAGTGGGGGTGGGGGGAGGGACGGAGTGCGGTAGGGGAAGAGGCGGTAGTAGGGGACCGACTCGTCAAACGTGACGTCCTGGGAGGACAGAACACGGCGAGAGGTGGGGTGGTAAAACTGCCACCCAGGCGCGTCAGGGGGGAACCCCAGGAAGACGCAAGGAGCAGCACGAGGGGATAGTTTGTCCGCAGACAGGTCGCGGACAAACGCCCGAGATCCCCAGACCCGGAACGCCGACGCATCGCCAACCTTTCCCGTCCACAGCAAGGCTGGGGAGGTCTCCGGCCTGGAGACCCTGGGGTGGAGGTTGATCTGATGCGCCGCGTACCTCACCGCAAACGGCCACAGAAAATGGGGGGCAGCCGCATGCATCATAGACGTACGAGCGACGTCCATGACCATGCCAATGCGGCGCTCAGCAATCCCATTTTGCTGCGGTGAGTCCGGAAGCGTGAAGGTCTGACGGATGCCCCGTGCACGACAGTAGGCACGCAGAAGGCCAGAGGAGAACTCTCCGCCTCTGTCCGAGTGCAGACGCAGAACAGGAAAGTCCGAGCCGAAGCTCTGCCTGAGCTAGAGACGAGCTGCGCGGATCCAGTCGATCAGCACCTCAGTGACATCACCCTTGCTGCGCAAGGGGAAGACTGTGGTGTAACGCGAGTAGTCGTCAACAACGAGCAGGAAGTAGCGCTCGTGACCCTGTCCACGGACGCGGGCTGGGCCCCACACGTCCATGTGAAGTGTCTGCAATGGGGCCTCTGTCGGAGGAAACTGGGAGGAGTGAGGGGCAGCACGCTGGCGCCCCTCGACACAGGGGACACAGGCAGGGCCAGGGCCCTGAGGAAGGGGAGGGAGGGACCGGGGGAGACCGGACACAAGAAGACGGGAGGCCATACCTCTGAGCCGAAGCAGAGAGGGGTGGCCAAGGCGGTGGTGCCAGAGGAGAGTCTCGTGAGACAGGAGACGACACGAACAGGGGGCAGACTCAGGACCAGACCTGGACGCCGCAGCAAACACCTGACCCGACGTAGCTACCCTACCAGACTCAGCAACTGGAGGAGACGCAGTGGTCAGAGTGTACAGGCTCGACCCCGGCTGACGAGTGAACGTAGCCAGGTGTCGGCCTGTGCCAGCCTCTGTACAGTGGGTCACTCGCCGACGTGCAGGAGTGAACTGGTGGACACCCGCATCCTGTAGGTCAGCACCACTCACCAGGTTCGTCGAGAACGAGGGGAGGTAGAGACCAGACAGGGTGCCAGAGGGAGCCGCCGGACACGGGAGGACTGTGGAGAAACGAGACAGGACCGGACCCCCAGAGGGGTCAGCCAGAGACACCGCAACCGGCCGACTAAGTGGCGTGAGTGTGGTGCGGTCCCGAAAGAAGGAGCGAGACGCCCCAGAGTCAAGAGTGAAGGTGAGGGAGGCCGAAGCCGACGCGGTACCTGAGAGAGCAGACTCACCAGTACCTGAGGACGCAGACACACCAGCACCTAGAGCAGCAGCGTCGTAAGCACCTAGGGCAGCAGCCTCACCAGTACCTAGAGCAGCAGTCTCAATGCCCGGATCGGGCTGGAAACACCGGTAACAGTCACCCTCATCACTAATAGACACAGCATACATGGCAGAGAGAATAGCATCAAAGTCCAGATCAAAGATGGCAACCCCCGCCCTAGACAGCTCGTCCCAGCGAGGGATCTCGGAGGCCTCCGGGAACTGGTGACGCCATGCGTCCGTCAGGCGGCCAAAGCAGCGCGGAGTGGGGTGCGCACCCCCACACTGCTCACCCGCACGGTCGCCGGTGCGCAGGACGTAGGTACACGGACCAAAACCCCCACCCCGCTGGCGTGCAGTGTACCACTCACGGAGCTGCTGAGGGGACAGGGTCGCACGACCACGCTGCTGCTGCTGGCGCGAGCCACCACCTGAGCCACTCCTCTGCAAAGACCCGCGACCAGCTCCACCGCCACCCCCACCGCCTCCACCGCCTCCGCTGCCTCCACTGCCGCCGCCGCCTCCACCGCCTCCTCCACCGCCGCCTCCTCCGCCACCTCCGCTACCACCGCCACCGCCGTCGCGGCCTCCGCCTCCACTGCCGCCACCGAACCCCCCACCCCCACCTCCACCTCCACCGCTACCCCCACTCCCCCCACTGCCTCCACCTCCACCTCCACCGCCCGCTCCTCCAGCTCCCTTGCCCCCCTTGCCCTTGCCAGAGCGGCGTCTCCCGCTAGGGGCAGACGCCGCACCGACCGACTCAAGACCAAGGAGGTCGGCCGAAGCAGCAGAGGCTACAGAGGGCAGCAGGGGGGAGGGAGAACACCCCTCAAAGATGGGGGTGCGCGGGTCACCTCGAGAGGCTCCTACAGCGACTATGCTCTTTTCTATCGCGAGGAGGGCCTTCTCGAGGAGGTCTACAGTGAGTGTGGTGGGACAGACTGAGAGAAAGTGGTCCCTGACTGCTCGAAGGGAGTCAGGGAGGCGAGTGACTAGGAAGTACAGAGTGATATACATGGGGGGGGGGGTTCGCGGTGCAGAAGTCAGCAGGAAGTGCAGCGCGGTAGCGAGTGTCACTAGTGCGGAGGTGCGTAATGAGGTCAGCAACGGTGGGAAAAGAAGCAAGGTCAGGGAAGAGGTACGGCAGCATGAGACGGCTCAGTGCAGCAGTGGAAGGGGAGGAGTAGCGCGCGACTACAGCGGCGTACAAGGTCTGAGCACTCTTGTACTGACTAAAGTGCGCACGCTCGGAGGTAGGGAGGTGGCGACGCACAGCAAGACGTGCAGCAGCATCGCGCGTGGCCCACTGGGAGCGAACAGTGGCGTCAGCATCAGCAGCAGGGGCAGGGGAAGCGCCAGAGGTGAGGTCAAAGAGAGAGAGGCCGTCCGCCCTATCGCACTGTAAGAACAGCTGTAGGTCATCTACCCAGACCTCAAAGTCAATGGCCCGACCCTCAGCGTCAAAAGTGAGGACACTAGGGGTGGCCATGACAGCAGTAGACCAGCAGTGCAAGCAGTAGGGGAAGAGCACGCAGTGCCAGAGGGTCTGTGCTCACCGGACAGGGCTGCTCGGGCGGCTCGGCTGCAGGGCGGCTCGACAGCTGGGCGGCTCGGCGGCTGGGCGGCTCGGCGGCTGGGCGGCTCGGCGGCTGGGCGGTCGGCTGCACGGCGGCTCGGCTGGTGGGCGGCCGGGCGGCTCGGCTGCAGCGCGGCTCGGCGGCGGGGCGGCTCGGCTGCTCTGCTGCTGGGCGGCTCGGCTGCGCTGCTGCTGGGCGGCTCGGCCGCTGTAGAGGAGTGGCGGGGCCGCTGCAGAAAGGGCGGCGGGGCCGCTTAATAGGGCGGCGGGGCCGCTGCAGAGAAGCGGCGGGGCCGCTGCAGAAGGACGGCGGGGCCGCTGGGTAGGGCGGCGGGGCCGCTGCAGAGGAGCGGCGGGGCCGCTGCAGAAGGGCGGCGGGGCCGCTGGGTAGGGCGGCGGGGCCGCGTGGTAGAGTGGCGGGGCCGCGCGATGGGGCGGCGGGGCCGCGAGGAAGGGCGGCGGGGCCGCTAGGTAGGGCGGCGGGGCCGCGCGATGGGGCGGCGGGGCCGCGAGGAAGGGCGGCGGGGCCGCTAGGTAGGGCGGCGGGGCCGCGCAATGGGGCGGCGAGGCCGCGAGGTAGGGCGGCGGGGCCGCTAGGTAGGGCGGCGGGGCCGCTAGGTAGGGCGGCGGGGCCGCTAGGAAAAAAAAAAAAAAAAAAAGGGGAGAGCGCGACTCGAGGCGCGCTTCGGTGGGCCCTAGGAACAGTCCCTAGGAGGGGACCTGCTCTGATTCCATGTAACAATGAGAACGAGAGAATGGGTGGACTATGACATGAAGTGAGTACAAATATGAAACCCTAATTGGTTGTACCCCCTATGGGATACCCCACTATAGCCTACACAACAGCATAAGCTATAATGTTCTGACATAATGAACCCTGAATTTCAGAGTTCCCTAGAAAACAGCTCTGGAAATCCGAGTAGTGAAAAAAAAAAGCCCTGGACCCAACCTTACGGTTCAGTTGGTAACCCGCGCTCCGGACCTCCGCCTCGACACTTTCCCAACCTCGACGCTAGGTCCATCGCGCACCCCAATTTCACACATTACCGTTACCACTGTACACATGATGGCCAACCCCTGCACGCGAATTTGCCCTGCACCAGATGGAAACCTTGCACCCGAGTTTTTTTCCCCATCCAGTTGCAGGCACGTTACAAGCACGTCGCGCAAGTTGCAGTGGTTTTGAACCAATATTAACGAACGGACCGAAGTCAAACTGAGGAGACTGAAGTCAAAATGATAACAAATATGTTACAAAAATCTTATAAGCACCTGACGAATCCTTTTTTGCTAACTGTGAATTGACGAAACTTATGCGAAATGCACGTGACAGCTTATGCGCCCCCTTCACAAGGTAAACGTGAGTGGCTCAAACGGGCATCATGTGTAGTTCCGCTATATATTCTTTGCTCATGCCTTAGCTCATTGTACTCTTGCTTCGATAGTGCAATTCTCGCTCGCTACACTCACAACTGCCGTCCTCCTTGGAGTTGTCTGTGCATCTGTGAGCATTTTCATTGCGCCTCCATCCACCCTCACTTGCTCCAGCCATTTCTCCTTTCACCAGTTGTTACCTACCCAGTGCCCACTCCTCCCCTTGCTACATATTTTCGAATTCGTTTCATTAATTTGTTGTTCCTCTTCTTTTCCTTTCAGCAACCGCCTCGCACTGCGCGATGGCATCGGTTTCTCATGGATCCCATAGAAGCGTGTTTATGCAAGACCGTTCGAAACAGCTGCGTGATTTCCGTGCTAGAAGAAGAGCATGGGCCAACTTCCCTGCCGTCCTCCTCGCGTGTCTCCTCCTAGCCCCCCGCCATGCGCGCAGCGCTACCACGCCATCGCGCGGAGCCCGCGCGCGCACGGCGGCGCGCAGGTTGCAAGGGGAGGAGCACGCCATGTCACTGTATCGGGTGCGTTTTCTCGGATATCCCCCCACCACTTCATCCCGTCATTCCTGGCGTCCTCCCCATTCCCTCCGTCTTGACCTCTCCGTGTGTTCCCAGCTCCTGCCGTCCGCGCATCCCAACCATTTTCTTACGTTTTATGCGCGTCAGAAGTTGTCTCCTGCCGGCCTCGCCTCCAAGCCATTTCCCGTCCCCATCGCCGCCACCGCGTTAGTCCATACCGTGTCACCCGACCGGATCGTTCCCACACGCCTCTTTCCCGCCTCCTGCGTCACGCATTCCCGCTCTTCCCTCACTCTCCCCCGCCCTCTGCGCCATGGCATGCGCAAGCAATCTCTCTCCCGCCCTTCCCACATACCTCCTCTCTTTCCGCCTCTCTCAACCGGTCTTCCACCCACCCACCCTCTCCTTCTCCCCCTCTCCTTCCCCGCCACCCTCCCTCCCGCCCCTCCGCCTCCCTGCACGGCCATTTCCCCACTTCCCGCGGCCCCCCTCCCCCAGGCGTGGGAGGACGCCTACGGGCTGTCGTCCCCGTCGCTGCTGCCGCCGTCGCCGCTCGTGCTGCCAGCGCACGTGCCGGAGGCGCCGCACCTGGTGGACTGCGCGGCGGGCGTGTCGCTGAGGGAGCGAACAGAGGCGGACGAAGAGGGGATGGCTGCGCCGTGGACTGGCGTGGATGGGTGCGACGCGCGACCCGCATGGGTACTTGTGGGGGGCATGGAGCGTGTGGGGGGGGAAAGGGATCGGGGAATGGGAATTATGCGAGCATGGAGTCGAAGCATGGCTGTGGTTGCTGCTGCGCTACTGCCTCCTTGTCCCCGTCTTGTCGGAGGTGCAGCAGTACAGTGTGACTGTGACAGCACCACGCCGCGTGCCCCAGCGGTCGTACGCCCACCGCGGGTCGTCACCGTGCTTCTAACTCAACCCCCTCGCCCCCTCGCCATGTGCTCATCGCCATGTGCGTGTGCACCCCCCTGTGCCCCCCACCAGGTGCGCGGGCCCTCCAGTGCGAGTGCGCCCATGACGCGCCGTGTGCAGGCGGACATTTGGCGCCACCAGTTCCCGCCTGGCCCCTGTGACACGCACCGCCTGCTGCTCGTCGACTGGCGCCTCCTGCGCTCCATGCCCTCCTCGTCCCCTGCTGGCACTGGCGGGGCGGACTGGGATGCGCGGGGCAGCGCGGGGGCGTGGAAGGAGGGCATGGCGTGGAGGGTGCAGGCCATGGCGGCGCTGCTGGGCGTGGCCATGGCTCACAACCGCACGCTCGTGCCCCTGCCCCGCTCCTTCCCTGCTGCCACCGGCAAGGCCTGCTCAGGTGTGCTGGTGGGAAGCGGAGGAGGAGATTTGGGAAAGTTGACTTGATGAGGACAGCATATCTCATTTTAGTGAAATCTGGAACTTACATTTCAAAATTTCCCATATTTAAATATATTATTTGTTGAGGTCTAAACCGTCTCGTTCTCTTAAAGTTCCACCCCTTTCTCCCCCTTCTCCCCTTTCTCCCCTTTCTCCCCCTTCTCCCCTTTCTCCCCCTTCTCCCGCTTCACCCCCTTCTCACCCTTCTCACCCTTCTCCCCCTTCTCCCGCTTCTCCCCCTTCTCCCCCTTCTCCCCCTTCTCCCCTTCTCCCCCTTCTCCCCCTTCCCCCCCTTCTCCCCTTTTTCCCCGTCCACCCTCTCCACCTCTTTTCTTTCCTCCCCCCTTTTTCCCCTTCCCCTCCCTTCCGCACCTCCTCCCCGCCCCCCTGTCACCAGAGCAACAGCAGGAGGCGGACTGGGCGTGTTTGTTTGCGCCCGTCACATCATCCGCATGTGCGGCATCAGCAGCTGCACGGGTGCCGGCCAAGTGCACGGGCAGTGCGGACGTGGAGGGCGCAGCCAAGGGGGCGGATGACGTGGTGTGTGCGGGGGAGGGCGCGGATGGGGATGCACTGCTCAACCACGTGGACGTCAGGTGGGTGGGGGGGACAGGGGGAGACGGAGGGGAGGGGCAGGACGCGTGGGGGGTGAGGGCAGGGGAGGGAGGGAAGGACGAGGACCACGAGTGGGAGTAAGCATGGCAAGCGTGGCCCTGTTTATGCACGTCTGTGCTGCCCGATTTGCACTCGGACGCTTGAATTCGTGAATTCACGTGGACGCATGGAAAGCGGTACCGTGTTCCACACTGTTTCGCCTTTTCTTCTCCCTGCTGCCATATCGCACTTCTGCATGTGCAGCCGATGGGGCAACCCTCACAAGGAGGGTGCTTACTCGCTGCTGGAGAATGGTGAAGCCACAAGCGTGAACGACACACAGCTCAAGGTGCACTGCTCACCACCTTCACCACATACAGCACCACATGTCCGAACCCATGCACCTACTCTTCCCACTCCCCTTCAACTCACCTGTTTCCACTGCCATCAGCCCTTCAACTCGTCTCTCAACCTCCTGCCATACCGCTCTCGTTTTCCCATGCCTTCCCCCTCCCGGGCACCAACCGGCCATCAGGCGAACTGGTGGCGTGCACAGGCAGTGCGCTTCCTGCTGCGCTGGCCCTCCTTACACCTGTGCCACGTGGGCAACATGCAGCGCCATGCGGCGTTGGGCATGCATGCGGCGGCCCGCCTTGCAATCTTCAGGGGGGACCAAGCCAACCTGCTGCACTCCGTCTCTGCCAGGGCCGCTGCTGCTGCTGCTGCCAAGGTAGGGGGAGGGGACCCTGCACAGGCTTACTTCAACATGAGCCGCGAGGCAGAGGAGATGCGCCGTGTGATTGAATCCAAGGGTCCAGATCTGCGGAGTGAGGTGTGGCTGGCAGCTGATCAGCATATCCCTCTGAGCAACTTTACATGTGCAGTTGCCACTGCTGCTGCTGCTGCTGCTGCTGCTGCAAATGATACCACCGCTGCTTCTCCTGCCGACGCTGCTGCTGCTGCTGTCGCTGCCGCTGCTGCTGCAGCTGCAGCTGCCGCTGCTTCTGCGGCTGCCGCTGCTTCTGCGGCTGCCGCTGCTTCTGCGGCTGCTGCTCCTGCTCCTGCTCCTGCTCCTGCCTCTGCGCCTGCGCCAGCACCTGCTGCTGAGGTGCCTAGAGTGAACGAATTATACGAGAAGGATTTGTTGCAGCTTGCAGCAGAGCCATACATGGTTCGACCAATCACAGGCGTCCACATGGCTAGTGCCTCGTTAGGCTTATTGAATGGCAGTGGTGCTGGAGGTGGAACAGCAGGCGTGGATGAGGCATCAGCAGTGAGTGGAGTGTTCATGTTCCATGTGAATCGAATGAGGCGCTACTCCCTTGACATGCGCCATGTCTGGATGGACACCGACTCACAGGTCAGCAGAGCACCCTCTCCCCCCTCTGTACCGTCTTCTATGGGATTCTGTTTGTTGCAAGGCAATTGGAGTGCATGTGGCATATAATGGGCTCGTGCACTGCTCTGCACCATCACTCATGCACTGTGCCTTGTTGTGCCATCCCGCTTGCAGCCATTCTTTGATGCAGTGCTCTCATTCTCTGACTTCACAATCCTGCACTCGCGGGAGCACCAGCAGTCTGCATCAGCTGGTGGTGGCAACAAAGGTGGGGAGCTGACAGCAGCGCACCACCTGGCGCACCTCATCATGTCGTCACACTGTGACCGCTTCGTTGGCTCGCTCTCTTCTCGCTGGACCCAGCTTATACACGACCTCAGGTGCACCAATGGACGAGCATTTGCAGGAGATGTTGCTGTTTCCTTGGATTGATGCCTTATGTGTACCTTTGATGCGCCCCCTCAAAGTGGCCCTTCTTCCCAAGCTGCTGCTCAGGTTTGCAAACGGGAATGTGACAACAGATGCTGGGTTGTGATTTTAGGGCAAGGTTTGTGTGGTTGTGATGAGGTTAGTGATTTCTGTTCTCATTTTGCACTTCCAAACGTCAAACGTGGAGTAAACAACAGTAGCGTCTTCCCCATAACGTGAGCTTATGAAGGGTCTAAATGCTGCATGCACGTATAATTATAAGGGCCTAAATATATTTTACGGTATGTGCATAGGACAAGACTAGCCCTCGTACTGCTGCTAAGGATGGGGTAACAGACACTGCGTGGGTGATCTTCTCCAAAGCGTAATGTCCATAAGAGATGGGTATGAGACAGTACCGTGGCTGCTGAAGAGCAGACACCCTGGTATATCAACGAAATGGGATCATGGGAGTAAGGATGTGTTCTTTATGCCAGGGTAGTAATGGGCTTGCAAGAAATAGTCACCCCGTTGCCCCCCCATGTTCGATATGGTGAAAACTTACAGGTGCAGGGCGGGTCGGGGTGTTCACTGATAAGAGCAGAGACTTCAGTGGAAAGTTTGTTCATGGCTTGTGAGGTCCAGGCTCGTGTTGGATTGTGATGTGCGCCATAAAAGAAAAAAACATTTGGTGCAGAGTGAATACTTCTTGTGTACCTCTTGTGCTGATTGATTTTCACTCATCATTGTCCGAAAAAACCATTCCCAAAAGCTCGCGAGGGAATCGCCAACCCAGGAAGATTTGCAGTTTAAGATAGTATTAAGTAGAACATGATTGCCTTCCCTCCTGCAATCGGGTTTCACTGGAGCTGCATTACATATTAACTACAATTTACATAAAAAGTAAATGGTAACCCCAATCAGGGGGCCTGCTGAGCCTCCGCACGAGGACAGCTGGCAGTATATAAGAACTTGACCGGTTACTGTTAGTGTGTAAGAGATTCAGGGAAATAGAGGTTAGTCTGCCGAATCTTGAACAGGAGCACGGTGAGAAGCCACTGCAAAACAAGGCACAAGAGTCAGTGGATGTCAGTCTCAATTTCGGAGCATACACCATTATCAAGAACCGATGAGGCAAAATCGACGTACCATGAATATGGTGCAATCCTGCTGCGACGATAACAATCGCTGCACACCACGAGGAGGAGGCAAGGGCGCCTACAACAGCGACGCATTTCGTTACAACGACACCAGGAACGAAGCCTCCTAGCAGCACTGCACCGACGTCCCACATGTGACCGGAATCAAAACGTTTGCGAACACGGTACGGACCTTCCATTGCTTCCATCGTGTTTGCGTGCTACCGTTGACAGGCGAATAAATTATACTAAGCGAGAATGAGATCATGAGCGTAGATGGAATTCACTAACCCATAATGTGCCACGAGGTTCCCATATATGGTGGACAAAAATGGTGGACGAGGGCTATATAGGAAACATCTTTCACACTGCTGCAAGCACAGGGAAGCTAACGAGGCACTCCAGCACATCTAACTCCAGTAACCGCTGTAATGCCTCCTGAATTCCATCAAACTTGCAACGCCGAGTCGTGTGCCTCAGCAGGATTCATGGTTCAGTTGAACAGCCCTCAATTTGCGGCGTGCTCTCGGCAATTTGACGAAAGCCCAGGGTCGAATCTTGGAGAGCCGACTTGGACCGCACTGCACACGTGAACCCAGTTCAGTGGCCAAGCCACGACCTGCGGAACTTCCGCACCCCACAAGGTTGGTGATGTGTGTCAGCTGAACCTACGCGCAAGGGAAGTCACATCCACCAAGATTCTGCAAAAGCCGAGGCGCTTTTGGTTTTTCACTGATTGGCAAGCGATCAAAAGAGTTCCAGAGATTGTGGACCCCCTTTCTCAGAATCCATTTGTACCGTAAGCACCCAATCAGTAGAGTTCCAGACAGTAGAGAACCATGGGTCATTACGATTACATTTTAGATTTGAGGCAAGAACAAAAATTGCTATGTGTTATGGGTGTAATGGAATGAGATGGCGAGGATTGCACTACGTGTCAAACGTGTTAGAGTAAAAGACCTTTGGATAGGATAGGAATGCCTTGAAAGAGTTTGGTAGCGGAAGTCTTGGTTTTAGGAACTCAGATCATAGTGAATGTAGATGACCAAGTTGATTAAAATAAAGATTGCACACATAATAAATAGTTTCTAGCTAGCCATGTACTCTGAGGGGTACATTCCCTTATTCTAACTGTTTTACAGGCATTTCTACAATGACTCTGACCATTGCACTACTTTCTTGTTACCGAGTCGCTGTATGTAACATGTACATACGGTTACGTCTGTTGCCATTCCTCGACGGTGAGTCAAACGTCGGTCCAGATGGTCAACAGTCGCGACAGTTGACTTTACGACTGTTGACCTTCCTGCCTTTGATATAGGCTGATCCGACACTGTTGCTAGCGCTGCTCCGATAGGGACTGGTGAGATACTGCTGCACCTACGGGAATGCCAAGTGTAATTCCCTTTATACTCCAACACTCCCCTTCGTTCCTGGAGGAGCGCCACGTGGCTCTTTCGGACGACTCCACACAGTCCGAGCAGTACTAGAACTTCTGACGTGGCAGTTTCTTCGTGAGGAAATCAGCTGCCATTTCGCCAGTTGGGCAGTAGGTGAGCTGGACTTTTCCTTTGTCGATTTCGTCCTTGACGAAGAAGTAACGCAGGGCGATGTGTTTCGTGCGGGTCACGAAGCCCGGTTTGTTTGCGATTTTGATCGCACTCTGGTTGTCGCAGAGCAACTTGAAGGATCCGTTCATCGCCGTCTTCGTTTCCTGTAGGAGCTCCGTGAGATAGAGTCATTCGCGAACTGCTGCGCTTGCTGCGATGAATTATGCTTCTGCTGACGAAAGAGCGATGAGTTCCTGTTTGTTGGAGTTCCAGGAGATGGTTCCTGCAGGTTCAAGTTTGAAGATGAAGCCTGTGCGGGACCTTCTGTTATCTGCGTCCCCAGCGTGATCAGCATCCACATAGCCGGTGAGTTGTAGTGGAGCTGTTAAGTTAGCCTTATAGGTGAGACCGACATCAGGCGTGGAGATAAAGTACTGTAAGGCGCGGCGCAGGTCGGCTAGGTTCTCCCCTTCAGGTCGGCGCAGGTACTAGGCGAGCTGGCTGGCGATGTAGGATAGGTCCGGGCGGCATGTGACGGCGACGAACAGTAGACACCCGAGCTGCTGCTGGTAGAGGCAGTGATCAGCCTGTGAGAGCGGGGTAGTGTCGGGCTCGTGGTTAGGCGGAGGAGTGCGGAAAGGGGTGGTGATGCCGACGGGAGCGATGCCAAACTTCTTAGCGAGTGTTTCGGCGTATTTCGCGGCAGTGAGGTGAATTGTGTCGGCGGTCTGGGTGACGTTGAGGCCGAGGAATTGCGTGACCTCGTGGTCAATGGTTACTTCCAGCTTCGCCTGGATGTCGCGTTCGAAGCGATCGAGTAGGTCCGCGTCATCTCCGGTGTAGAGGAGATCATCCACGTAGGGGACGAGCAGAATGAAGTGACCGCGAGATTCGAGGCGGTACATCCTCTGATCGTGAGGGAGCTGCTGGAAACCGAGCTCGATAAGCACGGTGTGAAGGTACTGCTGCCACAGGCGTGGTGCCTGCTTGATGCCGTACAGGGACTTCTGGAGGAGGCATATGGCGTCGCCGTCTTCCTCGAAGGTGTGAGGCTGCTCAAAATGATGGCGTCAACGATCGCGTAGAGGAAGGCGTTGGAGACGTCGATCTTGCGGAGGGGACGCTGCTTCACGGCGGCGATGCAAAGTAGAATCCGCGCAGAGGTGTGGCGCATGACAGGTGCGAATGTTTGATCGTAGTCCACGAATTGAGTCTGCTCGAATCCGCGGACGACCCAGCATGCCTTGTATTTGTCGATAGTCCCATCTGCGAGAGTTTTAATCCTGAAGACCCATTTTCCCCGTAAAGATTCTTCTCCCCTTTGCGTGGCGTCGTGGTACCAACTTCCAGGTGCCACGACGCTGGAGTGCAGCGACTTCGGCGGCCATGGCGGCTCTCCAGTTCTCAGCATCGGGCCGGCTGAGGGCCTGGCGAACTGTGGTGGGCTCAACCAGCTGCTGGTTACCCCGAACAGCGACGGCAAGGCCAAGAGTGCAAAGACCCGTAAGGTTGGATTCGGCTGTGTTAGTAGCTTCAACCACGTCGTCGTCGTCGCCAGGGATGTTGCGAAAGGTGTCGCGGGAAGAGTCGTGAGTTGGATCTTCGTTCATGGGTGAGTGCATTTCTGCACTTGCATAATCGTATTGTACCTGTACTGCTTCGTGTGGAGTGGTGTCTGTTGGAAAATAGGTGGGTGTGCCGAGCTGCTCCGTAACGGGGACGAACGGTGCCTCATCTGCTACTGCCTCGTTTGGCTGTTCTCCTGCCACGTCAACGTCGTCCTCGTCATTGGCGTGTCAGAATCCCAACCACTAGACCATTGGGATAAAAGGGCTTGTTTCAGTAGCGGGTCAGTGCGCCCATAACCCCCCAGGCGAACGCGCCTGTAACCCTCTCCAGGATCAATCGGGCATCCACAGTGCAGATCTACTGATACCCCCCCACACTGGGAGGCCCAGGACTAAGCACAGCGGCAACGACCTACATGTGCATACACCGGGAATCGAACCCGAGACCGCTCTGATACCATGTCAGAATCCCAACCACTAGACCATTGGGATAAAAAGGCTTGTTTCAGTAGCGGGTCAGTGCGCCCCTAACCCCCCAGTCGAACGCGCCTGTAACCCTCTCCAGGAACAATCGGGCATCCACAGTGCAGATCTACTGACACCCCCCCACACTGGGAGGCCCAGGACTAAGCACAGCGGCAACGGCCTACATGTGCATACACCGGGAATCAAACCCGAGACCGCTCTGATACCATGTCAGAATCCCAACCACTAGACCATTGGGATAAAATGGCTTGTTTCAGTAGCGGGTCAGTGCGCCCATAACCCCCCAGGCGAATGCGGCGGTACTGGAGCTGCTGGGACTGGGGGTGCTGCTGGGGCTGCTGGAGTTGGTCCTGCTGGAGCTGCTGGCGGTACTGGAGCTGCCGGTCCTGCTGGAGTTGGTGCTGCTGGAGCTGCTGGAGCTGGAGCTGCTGGGGGTGTTGGCGCTGGTGTTTCTGCTGGCGCTGGTGCTTCTGAGGGTGCTGGAGTTGGCGCTGTTGGAGCTGGAGGTGCTGCTGGCGCTGGTGCTGCCGCTGGGAGTACTGGTGCTGTCCCTGCTGGTTCTGGAGGCGCTGCGCGGCCGCGGCCGTACTTCGTTCCGCTCCTTGAGCAGGTTCTTGGTCTCCCGCCCTCTACTGGTCCTGCTCCTCCCTTAGAGGGTCCACCGCCTGTCCGGTCGCAGTCCTCCTCCCCTCTACCTGCTCCTTCTCCCTACACTGGTCCTACTGGAGGTCTTGCTGAGCGTCGTGAGCCTGCGTCTCGTCCTGCATCGCCTGTTCGTGCTGCTCGCACTAGTGGTCGTGCTTCGCGTCCGCGTCCTCCTGCGGTCCCAGGCACACACCAGATGGCACTGCGTCCTTCCACTGCTCCTCTGCGTGTCCCGTTGCCGTCTCCTCCAGAGTCCTCTCTTCCTGTCCTTGCTGACCCGGAGTCTGACTCTCTTCGTGCTGCCAGTCCTACTGTCACGCGTCTCCTGTCTACTGTTGTCACTGACCCTTCCTTTGAGTCCACTGCTGCGTCTGCCTTGGTTGCTGAGCTTGTCGACTTTGCTGCTCGCTGTCGTCTAGACTACGCTGCTAGTCTTGTTGCTGAGTCTGAGTCTGTCTGTCCTCCGTCCGTCGGGGGTGAGTGTGCTCTTAGCACGGACGTCCTTGAGGACAGGCAGGAGGAGTTCCAGTGTTTTGCTGCTGCTTTGCCTCATCTCGTGTCCACGCTGATTGCCCCTGAGGGAGACCCGGATGCACCAGACATCCCGACTCCTCGATCGTACGCTGAGGCGATCGAGGGTCCCTACTCCTCTCAGTGGCAGTCAGCCATGGACGCAGAGATGGCTTCCTGGAAGTCCACAGGCACCTACATCGACGAGGTTCCCCCACCTGGGGCGAACATCGTCAGTGGCATGTGGATTTTCAGGGTGAAGCGGCCGCCGGGTTCTCCGCCTGTCTTCAAGGCGCGTTACGTGGCTCGAGGCTTCAGTCAGCGGCAGGGAGTTGACTACTTTCAGACCTTCTCTCCCACCCCGAAGATGACCACTCTTCGGGTGCTGCTGCACATAGCCGCTCAGCGCGACTACGAGCTTCACTCTCTTGACTTCAGCAC